ATATATATATATATATATATATATATATATATATATATATATATATATATATGTACAATAGTGTTCAAAACTTAAATTGTTCTTTATACCATAAAAATGAGCTACTTCTTAAATCTAAAAAATTAATAAACAAATAAAAAGTAGTTCAATAAACATTATGATTCACATAGTAGTAAAATTTATGATAAATATATATTTTATTTAAAATATATAATTTTTTTAGCCATTCAAAATATGTATAGATATCAAATACTTTATTTACGGTTATATAATTTGCAAAGTTTAATCTTTATATGTATTTTATATCATAACTTGCTAATATAAAATACATTATCATACTTTTGGAAGCAAAATACATTTGAATATATTTTTATAATAGATGCATAAGTATAACTAATAATTATATTGGATCGTGAATAATTATAATGTAAAAAGATTACGATTAACTAATTATAAATAAGTATAAATATAGCTACATGTTAGAGTAGAAGTTATAGGAATATTAATGACTACAATCATGTTATATCTCATGACAAAAGATCTAAAATTATATTTAACCATGATATAAATAACATATATCCATAGGACTCAAAAGAAATTAGTTTATGAAGATATAATGTCAAAAGGTAAAGAAGCCATGAAAAGAGGTAACAAAAAAGTTTATAAATAATTATTTATGCATTAAATTTATTTTATTTTTAAAATATTGGCTAGGTCTTATAAATAAAAAATTATTTTGTCTCCAACAATGATCAATGTAGTAGTTTTTACCAAAATATAATTTTTATTATATCTATTATTTTATGAGTTTGGATAAGGTTTTTACTTATGGATGCAATAAATAATATTCAAATATGAAAGTCTTAACGTATACTTGTTATCGCCCAATCGACTGACTCTAATATCATTTGTCATGATTTGATTTGATAGGATAATTAATTTATTAACTTCGAAACCACTAACCCAAGATTCTTAAATCTAAGTTAACAACAGTATAATCTCTTGACTTTTACAAGATAATCTCATAATCTCAATCTATATGTACTTTCGATATCGAACTAAATCGAAGTGTTATAATAATTATTAAAGTAAGTAAAAAAATATAAAATTATTAGGGTTGTTATATAAAAACAAGAGATGAAGCTCATCAAAAAGTTGTATATATGGTTATTTTGAGAGCTAAATCACTCCCTAAACTTACAAGCATCAACTTTCATCAACAAAATTTTTTTGCATTGTTCTTTTATGTCACGTGCCAAATTTTGTTCATGACAAGTCTTCCACTTCCTACCGATCGCCAAGCGTGCGACATGGATGGAGGACCGCACTCTTGCAATAAGTCATCTACAACAAGCTATAATAAGTCTAATCGAAACGAACTCCTCGATCCTCTCCCCGCCACTCTTTCCCGACGAAGAAGTCTGCGTTGCTCTTTCTTCTTGACCCTCCCTCGCCATTCTATAAGGCATCGGGCAGCGAGGAAGGGAGGCAGGAAGGAAGGAGTCTGATCCACGAGGTCTCTGCGGTCTGTCGCGGCCATGTCTACCTCACGAGATTTTGGGTCGGCGTCGGAGCCCGGGAGTGACGAAAGGCGGCAGAAGAAACAGAACCGCTTCGTGATGGTTGGCTTAACGGCCTCCGTCATGCTGATCCTTGCCGTGGTCGGAGTCGCCACCGTTCAGTACAACTCCGAGGCGGACGAGTCGAGCACCAGCCCTTCTGACGGCGGCTTGGAGTCGACGTCGCATTTCCGTACCACGTCCGCCATTGAGGTGATCTGTTCACCGACCGACTACAAGAGCTCCTGCGAGTCGAGCCTGAGTAAGTACGTCAACGATAGCTCGAAGCCCAAGGACCTGGTGAGGGCTGCCGTCTTAGCCGTCGTCGACGGGGTCGCCAAGGCCTTCAACCGCTCCGACTCGATCAAGTCCGACGACCCCGAGGTGAAGGCCGCCATTGCGGACTGCAAGGAGATGCACCAGTATGCCGTCGATGAGCTTGCGAAAACGCTGAGTCACATCGACGAGCACCACCTGAAGCAGCTCCCGAAGCAAATCCCTGAGCTGAAGAACTGGCTGAGCGCCGTGGTCGCCTACCAGCAGACGTGCATCGACGGCTTCCCTGAAGGGAAGCTCAAGTCCAAGATGCAGGCCGCGATGAAGTCCGCCAAGGAAATCACGAGCAATGCTTTGGCCATCGTGGGGAAGATATCCTCCTTCCTCACTCTCATTCAGGTCGCCGGCTTCAGCCGTCGTCTCCTCGAAGAAGAGCCCGCGGAGCCGGAATGGTACGTGGACGGCAATCCTTCATGGGTGTCCCACGGCGACCGGAGGCTCCTCCAGACTCCTGCCACGCCTGAATTAACGCCCAATGTTACGGTCGCCAAGGATGGAAGCGGAGACTTCACCACCATATCGGGGGCACTCGCTAAGGCACCAAAGAAATTACTTAACGGAAGGTACGTCGTGATCAACCTCGGCAGAGTAATGCTACAATCATGGCTTACACCTCCATCTATATACGGACTAAACACACATGTACATTCTGTGAAGGTATGTGATCTATGTAAAGGAGGGAGTGTACGAGGAGACAGTGGCGGTGGACAAGAATACGTGGAACATCACCATGTATGGTGATGGTGAACAGAAGACGATTGTTACAGGGAGCAAGAACTTTATTGATGGCGTGAAGACCTATCACACCGCCACCTTTGGTAAGTAGAACGACAACACGTTTGCCGGGAACGGGGAATGGGATGCAGAGGAATTGAGCTGGTTGGTATTGGCTTGTTGGTAGCTGCGATCGGAGATGGGTTCATGGCGGTGGACATGGCATTCCTGAACACGGCGGGGGCCAACAAACACCAGGCGGTGGCGCTCCGGGTGCAGGCCGACCGCGCCATCTTCCTCCGGTGCCGCATGGAGGCGTACCAGGACACCCTGTACGCCCACAGCCACCGTCAGTTCTACCGCGACTGCCTCATCAGCGGCACCATCGACTTCATCTTCGGCGACGCCTCCGCCGTCTTCCAGCACTGCACTCTGACCGTGCGCCGACCCCTCAACAACCAGCAGAACATCGTGCTCGCCCAGGGCCGCAGCGTCCTCCAAGAGTCCACCGGATTCGTCATCCAAAACTGCCGCATCGTCGCCATCCCCGCCCTCGCAGATGCCAAACCCAAGTTACGCAGCTACCTCGGCCGCCCGTGGCAGGAGTTCTCCAACACCATCATCATGGAGTCGGAGATCGGCGACTTCATAGAGCCAGAAGGGTACACGCCATGGGAGGGAAGCTTCGCGCTCGACACCTTGTCCTACGCCGAGTACAACAACAAGGGCCCCGGCGCCGACACCTCGAAGCGGGTGCACTGGGCCGGCTTCAAGGTCATCAGCCAGGAGGAGGCCAGCGCTTACACCGCTTCACCGTTCATACAGGGAGACGATTGGATCTCAAAGATGGGCGCACCTGTTAGCTTGGGTCTCTACAACGAGTAATCCACAGCAAGCGAAGCTATCTAATCTATCCCTATCCTTCTCTCTATTAAGTGATATCCATTTGAGAGGAACTGCGTGATCGGATATGAAGAAAAGCCCTCACAATATGATATCTACGACAAATTTCAATGAGTTGGGAGATCAAATCGAGCCGTGTTATGTGCTTTGATTGCTTTCCGTCTACGTACAATTGATATCAGCATGCCAGTAACTCCGGTGTCGTTACCGACACGGGCGACTGCCCTTCGAATTGTGTGACTATCATGAGCACGGCCGGTGAGCTGACCCGGAACTGATCCGAAAAAGACCACGCTTCTCCGGCGAGCGGATCCTGGCGAAAGGTTTGCGCACGAATCCCAAAGCACCACCCTGCGTCGTCCTCGTTCTTCCCATCCACTTCGTCGCCGCCGCCGCCGGCGATCGAGGGGGCACCAAATCGACGACGACCGCCCCCTGCTCTCATACGGAGTCTTGCGGTGGCGGTGGGAGCTTCGCGGCGGGTCGGCGTCAACGCCGGTCAACGGGTGGAGAATTTTATTGCTGTTGACGTACGCTACGGTAATTAATCCGAATAAAAAGAGTAATTAAAAATATAATTAATTCAACCAAAAATATAATTAATTCATCGTGGAAGCGATTATCTTAAAAAAAGTATTCATGTTAAGTCGAATTTCAATATCTGAAATAATAATAATAATAATCTTATTAAGATTTATTAAAAGAATGGATATATGCTAATGATAAATTTAAATTTAAAATGATACAATACAATAAATCATATTAACGATTAAGATCCATACTCAAGGTGTAGCTTAATTAGCCCGAATAGCGATTCAGTTCAAATCAAATCACAATCAAAATGAATAATTCATCGATTCGAAAACGAATCAAAACTATTTCAGACGGTTTGATTTCAATTCTTGATTTTGGAGAATCAATAGTTTCGATTCTGAATCGATCGATTCCAATTTCAAACTAGTTAAATATGATAAAAAAAATAAAATAAAAATAAAAATAAGGTTTACAATATTATGATTAAATCCTTAAGTTTAATGTCGATTAAATTAGGTTTAAATCTTAATAGAGTCATTTAGTTTGATTAATAATTTTTATATCAACTTATTTTAAGTCATTATTCAAATTTTAAAAATAAAATTATTTATTTATTTATTTTTTTATTTAAAAATAAATAAAAAATTAGATCTTGGATAATTCGATTTCGATTTTTGATTTTAGGAAATCGAAACCGCAAACGAGGCTTAACATAAATCACTATCTTTTTCATCATATTAACCGTATTATTTAAAATTTAAATAGTAAAATCAGAAATTATAATGATACATATAGATTGATGGATTCTCGAAGAATTTTTTTTTTAATTTTTTTTCTTAGAGGTGCCCCTTTTATATTTTTTACTCAAAAGAGATATTTATTTCAAGACAACTAAAGATATCGTGTTAATTATAGTGTTAATTATAATATTTATAGTGTTAATTATATAAGATGAAGGAGTCCGATCCCTCTTATATAAGATTTATAGTGTTAATTATAATATTTTTATAGTCTCTAACAAAACCTTGTAAGTATATTTAAAAGTATAATTACTGTAGTAAAAATACTCAAAGACCCAATAGGAAATAGTTCATATACAAAAATAATTAAACAAAAAAACTTCTATCATTAAGGTGTTTTTAACACCTCCACCGAAAACACTACAATCGAATAATTCATTGATTTGTTGAATCTCGGATTTTGATGATGAAATTAATCGATGGTATTTATGATTTAATCTGCGTTTTGAGTGACGCAGGAAGCTTCGATCAGGATGAGACAATTAAAGCATGAAGAATCATGTTGGGTCGGTGAAAAATATGTCAGAAGATTAGACGTCGAGCCGAAGGATCGGTCGACGTATCGACGGAAGGCTTCGGACATCGAGCCAAGAAAAGCGGATATTGCGCCAAGGATATCAAAGTTGCGGAGGTCAATTGGCCGATTGAGCAATAGGCCGCAATAGAGGACGAAGCATCGAAGAATCGGACGAAGCGTCGATGGACCAATGATATGCCGGACAACATGATTCATGCTTAGTAATAATTGTTTAGATCGAAGTATGTTTTTATGTGTGCAGGATTAACTACGATAGCAATGCATAAAGCAAAATGAAGTCTTGGAGTCAAGAACGCGATTTCGTTGGGAGTTCGAGGGTTCGTCGGAAGCCCTGCCGGAACTGACCGATAAGTTTAGGAGCTTGCCAAAGAAGCTCGTTGGAACTCGCCAAGAAGATCGTCGTGAAGTCCAGGAGTTTGCCGGGAGTCCGCTGGAACATTGCCGAGAGATCGCCGGAAGCTCATCGGAAGAAAACTAGACTTACAGACTTGTTTAGCTTAGTAAATGTCTTAGAATTCGTAATTAGCACATAATTGGGATTGGAATTGGGCCAATCCAATTAGGGGTCAATTGGGCCGATGCAAGGACTGTGTTGAATGGCCCAAACAATGGCCCAAGAGGTCATACCATCGTGGCACAATTTTCGAGATTATGTCAGGCGGTGGTACCATCGGTTTGGGTGGTGGTACCGCACAGACACAAATCTCCGAGATGCTATCAAGTGATGGTACCTCTAGTCTGGGCGGTGGTACCGCCCAACATAGGGTGTCAGGTGATGGTACCGCTTAGTGCAGTGTCAGTGTCAAACTAACACTAGCGGTAGTACCGCCTAGCAACTCCTCTCCTTCTTCTAAGTGTTAGAATAGTTTGAGAGAGGAATAAATGGGGGGTTAAGAGTTATCTCCTAAACCCGATAAAAGGAGAAAGAGCTGTAAAAAGTGGTTGATCTTCGCCTCGATGAAAGAGGAATCAGTAGAGTGGATGTAGATCACGACGACCAAACCATTATAAAAATATGATTTATGTTTCATTTGAGCAATTTACTAACCGCAAACCTTCTTACTTGCTGCACTAATTCACCTCCCCCTCTTAGTGCCGTTCCTAACATGATTACCTTGTCAAGCATATTTCAAGAATTATATGAAACAAAGGATGACCTTTGAAAAATATCAAAAAGTATGACCCTAAAACTGCTCTCATAATGTTCGAGTCTCCCATCTTTTACATGGATACAAAAAAGATGTCAATCATTCCATCGCTGGTTAATTGATGACATTTCTAAACTACCAACCTAACAACAATTCACAGGCTGAACAGATACAAATCAAGTACTGAAAAAACTAGTTTTTTTTTTTTTGAAAGGGGAAAAAATTTCTAGTTCCAGTGGTGAAACTGCCACATCTAGTGATGCATTACATATGAGATATAAATGGTGTTGGATGAAATAACCGTGATAGTGCTCAACAAATTGGTATCCATTGTGTAAGTTGCTCTATCTATGTATGTACAGTCTTTTAACTTTTTGTTTTCCATCAGACTTTAAAAAATGATTAACCACACTTGATCACATTTTCCTTCTCTTTTCTTACTCTAAACAAAGGGGCCTACTAGAAACCCTTCATCCTTCTAAATACACCTAAATAACCTGCTAAGAATGAATCAGGCCCCTCATTAGAGGGTAAATGTAGTAGTTCGCCGAGTGTGAGCCATAAATCTTGAGTGTCTCTCACGTCGGTATCCATGAAAACAGCTGCTGTTCTACTTCTTGCCAGTTATGCACCTTGGTCACCATTGGATGTGAAGTTGCTGAACCTGCCTTGCACCATGGGTATGAATTATGGTAGTCGAAGAGTAGGACCCTGATGCCAACTTCTGCACATTCAAGAGCATATTTTGGGTTGTCGTCGATCAGAACATGGGCTCCCAGAGATCTGCAGAGAGCAACTCCATCAAAACAGGATGGAAAATTTTTTAATCTGAAAATTGCGAAGAAAGACTTTCAAGTAGATGAGGGGAAAAAAAAACCCAAAACAAGGGAATACCACTCTAGTGATTCTAATCTGGAAATAATTTGTTATTGAAGAAAACATATTTTTGTTTCCTTCTAAAGCAACTTCTGCCAAAAAAAAAATTCTAGGGGAAAAAAACACTCCAGATACCTGTTAATCAAATATCTAGTTGGATGGGAAGAGGACCGAAGTGAGTTTCCTGATGTTCATTAGCCCACAGACTCCTAGACTCAGAGCTAATTCATAAAACACAAGTTGAAGGCACAACGTACTGGTATATTATGGAGCTACTGAATTACTTTTGACTTGTTGAATCCTAGTTGCAAGTTAATTGAAAAAAAAAAAGCCTGCGGGCATATTCAAGCAGCAAATCTAACATTTAATAGCAATGCTACTTAAATAAATATTCCATCTACCACAATTTTTTCCAAAATGCCCATCAAACTCACAAAAATGACTTACCCAAATTAACATAGAGGGATTCCAAGGAATTATTAATATAACCAGTTTATCTCTCTCATGACATGCTTCTCGTGCAAGCCTTTCCCATTCTATTCAATCTTTCTCATCAAAACCATTCACGCACAGCCGCATAATTCCACAACATGGCATCTCTTACTCACTGTGTCCCAGTCAGTACCAATCCTTTGTAACTGTAGATTTACCTTCATGTACTATCTTTTTCCATAACTGCACCTCCCCTTCCCTAATCAACACTAATTTTCTCAACCATAATCTTTGCATCAAAAACTACACTACACACATGTACTATTCAGGTTCACATACAAAATGTTTTCCTGGATCAGACATGTCCAATTGCTAGATAGTAAAATATTTAGGATACTCCAGCTTTTTTCCATCGTTTGGAAGTTTTTATACATCACAATGATTATTAAACAAGAACTGACATATCTAAGCTGTAGTAAGCATTAGACTTGATAATCTAATGTACCTGCAAATCTCAGATTTTGGCCTTGATACTCCATCTAGCGCAAAATGGTTACCAAAATGGATCTCCTGAAATAAGCCAGGATAATGTTTTTCAATCCACTCAAGAGTGTGGTCCTTGATGACATTCTGCCGAGATCTGTTCAGAGTACATGTTCGCAAAAGCATTAAATCAGTATGGTTGTGATAGCTGCAGAATTCAATTACAAAGATTTAAACAAGAGATCTGAATCAATTATACTCACGTCACCACAGATAGGTTGCAAAAAGTTGATAATTTATCGAGAGCATGTCGAGCACCAGGGATGGGATAAATGCCCGTTTTGAAATAAGAAGATTTGAAGAACTCATGAACACGGATATTAGCTACCACAAACAACAAAGGGGAAAGATTTGATACGTTGCAAAATGAAAAAAGTTATGTCAAAACTGTATAAAGCAGCATGTCAAATAGCTCCAAATCAAAATAATATACAGCACAAAGAATGTGGAATTAAATATGACAAAATGAAGAATGTCTTCCAGATACCTTCAGCTTGAGAACACTTCCATATCTGTTGATTGAGTCACACACATATCAGTAAGAGCAGAGCTATAAGAACAAACTTGACAGGAAAACTAGAGCTTCTCACATGAAGCAACTAAAGTTAAGCTTCCATGAGATCAACTCAAATTGAAATCAGTACATGAGGATAGCTTGATACCTTGTAAAATTCATAAACATAATATTCCGAAACAGAATGATTGGAGGAGTAGCAATCAGCAATAAATTTGTTTAGAGCTAAGAGAAAGCTTCCAAGAACTGAAAACCAACAAAGCAGGAATGTCAAGAAACTTCATCACAGAACTGAACATCTAAGAGCTGAGTTCTTATATTAGTTGCAGCTACAGAAAAGTTACTTGGATTTATAAGATAAGGTTACCAAATATTATGGTAGCTGATCGATTGAGAAGTGACAAAATACAAAATATGTGAACAAAAAGAAGGATATAACTGCAACACAATTTCTTGACCATCCATAACCAACATAGGCAACATTTCAAGTTTTTTAAAAACAAATTTATACAAGAGCCAGATGCTCTCCGATGGATGTCAAGAAATAAAATTGACCTCTGTACAGATGTCCATTAATAATATAGCAAATTGATAATGCATGAATTTATAAACCAACTAATTAGCTAAATCTATCTGACCACTAACGTCCATTACTAATATAGCAAATTCATAATGCACAAATTTATAAACCAACTAATTAACTAAATCTTTCCAACCACTAAATTTTTAGATCCTAAAGCAGGTTCATCACTCAAGTTAGCCATGGCTACAAGGTGTGGACCAAATTAAGATGTCCATAAAATTATGATATCTTCCTTGGGGACTTCTTTGATCCTAAGATATGCTCTATGGTTTTTGCATATTGATTGAAAATGCATGAGGCAGCAGTGGCAACAATGCCTCCTATGATATGCATAAGGTTGTAAGCTTGTGCAAATAAGCCCGATGTTCTAGCAGATAAAGAATCTATAAGCGAAACTTTCAAAAAAAAGATCTTTCTTGAATATATGAGAACAAGCTTTGAACATAAGTGGAAAGGAATCCAACTAAAAATTTGTCCATATTCAATTTCTTGTATTTACTGCCAATTATTCACACATCCACAAGCGGCAACAAAAAGACTCCAACTGAAAACTTGTTCATGATCATTTTCTTCTAGTTGCTGTTGATTATTCACACAAGTCTCCATCGATTGTTACCGGCTCCTAGATTATTCATTAGCTTTTACAGATAAGTCCAACATAGAATCTGCAAAGGGAGTTGTGACAAAAAATAATTTCCTATATCGGCTATATTCCAAACAAGCACTACATAAGTGAAAAAAAAAATGTAACTCAAAATCCTTCTTCATTTTCTTGTCAGGACTCAGATCTTTGACACTTGCACAAACGACGACAAAAGCCTCCATTCTTTTCATTCTTACAGGAAACTAGCATCTAACAAATCGCTATCTAGCAAACTAGCACCTTCAACTAATCAATTGATGGATGAATAATTTAAGCCACTTTTCAACCAGTTCCTTCCTAACAACTCTTTACGAGATCCATGGTCATTAGGCAATGCTAGCTGGGAAAGAGTCTCAACATGTTCAAAGATCACAAAAAAAGGACTATACAGAAACTACTACTTCAAATGATTAGTAGATTACACAGTTGGAAAGATGCCAAACGAGACCATCGACTACATAATAGATCTAAAATTAGAGAACTTCTAAAGAGCACAACTAAGATCAAGGGAACCTCCAACCGGCAAACAATAAACAGGAACAAGACCAGAAATTTGAACTTGAGATAAATACCTTCATCTACATCAACAGCGACGGCCAATTTCTCAGATTTTAGATGGCCTGGGAATTCTAGAGGTTTTCCATGTTTGCATGATCCATCTCCATTCACCAAACTCAACCCCATATCCTCCGAGAAAACCATTTTGGAACCATTAACCAAATGGCGATGGGGTCCCACAACATGAGCCTTCTGGATATCTTCATCTGCCCTTCTGGAGACACCGTCATGGCGGTCGGAGCAGCCCCTCATGCTCAAGTTATTGTTGGAACCAATGTCCATGCAAACCAAATGCTTTCTACGAAGTCTTCCATGTTCGTTGGCCACACTCATCTGGCTAAACCCGCGACTTGGCGAGGGGAAAAGCTTATTCAAAGCCATCGCAGAAGCGTGATCACTCCAAAGGGTCCGGAGATGTAAGGAGCACGACCGCAGGCCTTCTCGCTTTAACATGCCAATTCCCACACATTCCAGGAGCAGCAGAATAAAAAAGATGAGACCTTTAACACTAACTATACGCCTCAATCTTAGAATCAAAGAATATCCCGGGCGATACGAATCAAGGGTGACCCCAACGAGAAAAATCACCGAGGAATCCGAAAAGAAGATACCAGCAATGTACAAATCGATAAGGAGCAGTAAACTCAGTACTTGTAATTGCCAAAACAAACCTTTTTCTTCGAACCCGGGGGAATCAGAAGGCAAGAGGAGACCAAGAGGGCGTGTGGGCAATATAAAAAGCCGAAATCCAAGCAATGTAGCAGATTTCGAGGCGCCCCTGACGAACTAAGGATGAAGAGGAGGCAGGAACGAAACCGGGATCGAAGACCGTATGAATCAAGGATCGAAACAATGAAGAAAAAGAATCGGTGAGGGGTCCTCCGCGGGCCTTGCGACACGCTTGTTCCCTTCTCCTTCTGCTTCACGCTTCCGCTCTCCTCTTTTTACTTGCGCTTACGTCGCTCGCTTTCTAGGGTTTGTTGGCGATCGAGAGCGAAGGGGAAATAATTCCTCGGAAAGGGAGGGGGAAAAAGGAAAAATAAAAACAAATCAGCACTCAACAATTCTTTCTTTCCTTTTTTATTTTTACTTCTTTTTTATTCTTTTATTCTCATTATTTCTCGATCGACTGTGTTCGTCCGGTTTCTTCGCAGTGAGGTGATGGCGGTGGTGGGGCCGACCGTGTAATTCTTTTTATTGGGTGACGCCCCGCGGTCGAGACGCACGGGTCAAACTGCACCGGTGGGGTCCGGGGCTAACGCTAATCAGAGGGTGGCGTCAGCCGGTGAAGGAAACGGGTGCCAGCCTCCGGGGTCCGGGTCTTACTGGTCACAAGAATAATTGCCAGGATTGAGTTTGTGGCGTACGCGTTCTGGTCTCTGCTGACCATTTAAGTACCGTTTGGTATTTACCCTTATTTTTACTTTTATTTGTTTGTATTTTAGAAAATAAAAAAAAGGCAAAATCTTGCGTGCGTGTGTATAAATAAATCCATCTAAATTCGCTGATTTTATCTTTCTAATTTTATTTCCCTACAAACCTAAAAACTAATTTGCTTTCATAAATATAAAAATTGAAATTAAAATATTAAAAATAACTAATTATAATAATGAATAATATGTAAACAATCTTATTTTTATATAGTAAGGCCACTCAATTTTGTCAGCATGACTTCCTGATTCGCACGCAGCAGAATTCCCATTAGACTTCAATTTGCCCCATGCATCAGACTCATCCGGAGTGAATGAACTGGGTCCAGCAGTTTTCATTTGCCTTTATTCGTTTTTCTGCTCTTGTCCATAGCAGTAGGTTCACTCTGTTCCCATCCTTCCCGACGAGACTTCTCAACTTCACCGTTTTCCAGGATAGTGTTCTTCCCAAGGTTGAATCCAAAGACAACCATCAGCTTCAGGTGATCGACACCAGTTGCCCCTGCACTGAACTGTATTTGTAACAACTCCAAGAAATCATAGACTCGATGACAACAACAGCAATAAAGCTATGTCTATCCGACTATTTGGAGTCAAATCCATGGGCCACAGTGTTAATGAATGGAAAAAATGAACCTTCTTTTTCTAGCCCAAAGCATCAGGAATGGCGCACCAGTGCCAAAAGCGACCGACTCCTTTGCCCCATCAACGAGATGAAATCGCACTAGCTAGTGACTAATCTGACATTTCTCGGCTACTCTTTCAAAGGATTACGTTGGTGTCTGCGAAAAGGAGTAATAGAAACAAGAGCCGGAAAACCCTACAAACACGACAGAGAAACAAGGCAACAAACTCCATGATACGTTAAAGACGAGAGAGAGAGAGAGAGAGAGAGAGAGAGAGAGAGAGAGAGAGAGAGAGA